AAATAGCAATTTCTGTTTGACCACCAGGTGGCGAAAACACTACTTTTAAATAGCTCAATTCATCAGTACATGTGAGTGACCATTACTACTAACAAATCATAGTTGGTAGTGACCAGTATATATGCCCATGATGACATTTCGGTGCATTTGAAGAAATGCAATTTGATTTCGGTCTTTGTTAATACGTATATTCAACAAGTATTCACACCACCAACTATGTAGGAGGCGCACATCAGAAAACAGAAATTCCCAGATTAGTAAACTCTGTGTCTGTCCTCAAGAATCTCCCCCTTCCAAGAGGGAGTCACTCATACACTCAGAACATGTTGATGAGAGCGGTAATAGAAGTATGTGTAAGGTACATGATAGCCCTGATGGGGCATGGTTTCCTCTGCTCTGGGGCAGAGCAGGGAAGGTTTCACAGAGGATTTGAATCTGGGTTTGAGGCATCAGTCCATCTCTGGGTTATAGTGTAAGAACAAACCACATAGTGGGAATAACTTGTGGAAATCCATAGTTGTATGAATCAGCATGATGTGTTTTGGTAAACTGTAAGGGTTTAATATTACTTATACATAAGTAAGAGTGAGGATGGAGGCATGGCTGGAGAAATAAGCAAAGGCCACACAATGAAAGACTCTGTGGGCCAAGCTAAAGATCTTGGAAGACTCTTAGCCAGTAAAGGAAGCCATTGGAAGGTTTTAAGGATTGTAACCCTGTGATCAAACTAGTATTTCAGCAGGGTGACTGTCAGGTCAGTTCAGAATGTGGCCTAGAAGAGGACAGAACCAAAAGCAGGTAGATCGGTTGGACAAGGGGATTATAGTCATCAGTGTAAGAGATGATGATGGTGTGAACTAGAGCAGGGGTAGGGGACTAGGGAAGGACAGGTTCATATGTGACATGATGGTTGATTTTATGTATCAACTTGACTTTGTCACCTAGTGCCCAGATATTTGGTCAAGCATTACTGTAGATATGTCTGTAACAGTGTTTTGGACAAGATTAACATTTGAGTAGACTGAGTAAAGCAGACCACCTACCCTAGTGTGGATGGACTTCATCCAATCGGTTGAACTCAAGAGAACAAAAAGGCTGAGTAAGAGTGAAGAGTGAATTCCTTTTTCCTAACTGCCTTTGAGCTGGGGCATTGGTCTGTTTCCTGCCTTTGAACTCGACCTGAAACATTGGCTTTTCTTGGGGCTCCAGCCTACTGGCTTTCAGACTGGAACTTACACTGTCAGCTTTCCTTTATAGGCCTTTATAGTTGCACTGGAACTATATAACACCATTGCTCTCCTAGGTCTCCAGCTGGCTGACTGCAGACCTTGGGATTTCTCAGCCTCCATAATTACATGAGCCATTGCCTTAGGGTAAAACTCTTTTCGCCCACTCTCTTGTCTATAAATCTTAGTGGTTCCATTTCTCTGGAGAGTCCTGACTAATGCAGGTCTGGAAGGTGGAATCAGCATAACATGGCGTTTTGCTGTCTGTGGAAGGTGAAAGTAAGTTGCCAAGGCGATCCCTCCCTCTGGCCCGGTGACTTGAGAATAGTCTTGCTATGGGCTGAAGTTGGTGGTATGCAGTAGAAACAAGAATTGTATGTTTATGTGTGCAGTGAATGAAGATGATTTGTACACTTTATAAACAGAAAGTTCATGGGATTTTCCAGGTGTACAGAAAAAGATGCCTTTTAGACAGTTGGTTCTCTAGGTCTACTTATATAAGTAATGTAAAGACTGTAGAAATAGATGACAAAAGGCATTAAGATTTGATGTGGATGTGAAAATCGGTGGGGGGCCGCAGAAAATACATTTGATTCAGGCCTTTCAGGGTAGGATGTGTTGTAGGTGGGCACAGCTCTATTTTGTTAAGCATGCTTGAGATCCACTCTTAAATGATAAGTGGGATGGAGATGGAATTTAACAACTGAAAGAAGATGAAAGAGAGAGGGGCTTAGTAAAATGGAACTGAAAGTCTATGAGATCCAGGGTATGAGAGGGACTATAGAATATTTTGGACAGGATATGTAGTCCTAACTGGTATCTTATTTTATGCATTATATGTGATGTCATACTTTAGCATAATTTAGTTTCTTGGTATCTTTTATCATTTAATAACAATATCTATTATCTCTGAGCACTTAAAATGTGCTGGACTCTGCTTGATCAGGATGTGTGTGTATTTACTTCATTGTCTCTTTACATCTAAGGACAAATGTGTTGATTAGATCCTATCAAATGAATTAGAGAGAAATTACAGTCCTCAATCCCGTCAGCCTAAAAACAAATTAAGAGAGAAGTGTCATTTGACTTCTGCTTATTTCCCTCCTGGAAATACAGGAATTACAGAAAGTTGCAGTAGCATGGCTTCATTTTCTCTTCTCTCCTTTGGGTATGATGCTTTATTAGTCAAGCTTCGAGGTTTATTTTGAGAAAAGTCTTTCAGGCAAATGAGTAGACTCTCAGTAGAATGAGTTCTGTAAGACTCATTTAAAGAGGCAGAGGGGTATGTACAGAAGCTGGCAGAGGAAGATACAAGTGTCTTTGCTGTGGTTAGAAGATGATTGGACTTGGAACTGAATAATTGGTTTTGCTTTTCCCTCTGTGGCTTTTCTTAGACCTCTTAATCAAGCGGAGCCTGCATTTCCTTATCGGTAAATTAAGAATAATAATAATGCATGTTCAAGGGTTGTTGGGAACAACAATTGAATTATTTGATGAAACTGCTTTGTAAAGTGAAATGTGAATATAAGATCGTTCTATTCATTTTGACAAAGTGCCTTTAATGTTGAAGCCATGTTGCATAAAAGCTCACTGTGGTTCTCGCTGGTAGAATTTATGCACTCCTTTAGGGCACTGAAAGGACATTCCTCTCTGTGTGTGTTTTCCCACATTGGCGTCTCCAACATATGCCCTCATCAGTCTTTTCTGCGGGTGCAGAAATGAAGCATCCAGAAAGAATGATGGTTAGTTTGTGTATTCCTATGCCCAGAGCACATGCATGGGTAGAACTACTCCCTGCAAATAGGTACCAATCAGCACATGAAGGAGATGAGATGGAGTGGTTGTGACTTGCCAGAAGGTACATCAGTGAGCGGTGAAAAGCAGAAACAAGAAAACAGCTTTTTGCTTCCCAGTTCAGTTGTTTGTAGAATTCATTTTATGTCTTCCCTGAAATCATCACCCATGAAGTTCAGTTTACCTTGATGGGAAGTTGAGGTGGTTCATGAAATATTGAAACTTGTGTTCACTTTCTTAGTGAAGAACCATTTGGAATTCCATGAAAGAAAAACATAATCTACCTCAAGAATTACCATAATCCCCACCCTTTCCTTTTGTGAAGAGTGAGAAGTCATTTCAAACATTTATTCTTGCTCATAAGAAAAAGAAATTGTTGGCTTAAAATGAGCAGGCTGTGTGCCTTGTTTAGTGTAGAAATGGCCATATGGTTAAAAGCTTTACAGATAGTTCACCATTTGGGTTACCACCACGTTTTTGAACTTACTGTGTTATCCCCTTAACATGGAGTACAGATACTGTTGTGATAATTAGCAAGCACATAATTGCCCATTTCTAGTGGTTATGGCAGATACTTCTTAATTGAATGAACTCTAAATTAAAGTCTGATCTTCTCATTTTGCCTCATCATTGCCTTCTATTTGTATAGAGCGACAAAAGAGCACTAAATTAGATTTCCAAATGTAAGATGTTCCTTTCTTCATTCTTCCCATGCCCTGGTCAACCATTACCCCCCATCTCTAACTTTAAAAAATAACTATAAGGTGAGATCTCTTTTAACTTCCTATATGCTAAGGGTATTTTTTTTCTTTTTTTCTCTTTTTCTTTTTTTGACACCCCATACATTCTCATTCTCTTTCCTTTAGCCTCAAAGGAAATAAATTACTTCTGCATCACTAAGCACAACCCATCCACTGGGGTCCTCGTCCCAGTCTCCCCCTGCCTTCTCCAGAGCTTTTTACATTTTTTCTCATTTCTCCAGCTTTTGCTTCTGTGTTATTTTTTTCTTCCTAGTCTATAATTGCTCAAATTTCTCCCAATTTGACATGCCACATTTGCCTGCAATTACTCTCCCATTTTATTCTCTCCCGATCCAACTCCTCAGAAGCCTCAGCCAGGCCTTTTTGACTTTCTGCCCAGTCACTCCCATTGCACTCTGGCCTCTGTCTCCTCCCAATACCCCCCGGCCAAACCCGGACTGAGCAAAGCTTCTATGGATACAGTCACTGGTGATTTTCGAATGAGTAATGCCAACATATTTTTCTCCGCTTTTTATTTTATGGATTTCTCTATTGTGTGAAAATCTCCTTGAAACTTTTTCCTTGACTTTCATAATACAGTCATTTTTATTCCTTTTGTGCCTCTTTAATTGTTTCTTCTCTGTCTCCTTAATCATTTTTTCCCCCTCTACTCAGCCCTCAAATATTGATACTCCTCAGAACAGAAGATCAAAGCGTGACCCTGAAGAGTATCAATATACTAAGATATAAAATATCTTGTGGTTTCTTCTCTATCTTTCAAGCTTGACACAGAGCTGAATGAGAGATAAGTGACCTGAAAATAAATGGGGGAGTCACCTTTGCTTTCTACCAGAGATAGTCAGCTTAAGCAATTTCTTTTTGATATTTTACACTACTCATTTTTAAATGTTTAGTATGTTTTTGCATGCTTCATTTAGTATTTTAAGTTAGAAAAATCTGTCTAGTTGTTTTGTTTTTTTTTATTTTTTGAGAGAGAGGGAGAATGAGCGTGAGCAGGGTGGGAGGGGCAGAGGGAGATGGAGAGAAAGAATCCTAAGAAGGCTGCATGCTCAGTGTGGCTCCCAACACAGGGCTTGATCTCATAATCCTGAGATCATGACCTGAGCTGAAATCAAGAGTTGGCTGCTTATCCGACTGAGCCACCCAGGTGCCCCTGTCTAGTTTTTATATGAAAAAATGTTAGCTACAGGAAGATAACACCTATTCCTTTCTGTTTCAGGAGACCCATCTTCCCAGTTGCAGGCTCAGGAACCTGGAAGTTCTGAAAATACATTAAGTCTACTGGAAGATTCTGGGTGTGAGTTATCCAATGAGCAGAGAAGTGAACCTTCAGAGATGGCCCAGCATTTTGTGGAGAGCTGCAGCCCCACGTCCTTTCTACCACTGCCCATTGTGAAAAGACATTGTTCCACTGTGGAAAATCCTCTGTCTTCTCACATGCATTTCTTGCAACATCTGCTTGAACTGAAGAACTTGACAGAATCAGGGAGTCTGAAAACAGACTTAAGCCACTTTGAAAATGACTTTTCCACAGTATCTGACTCTGTTTTTCAGTTGTTGGATGGCCTGATCACTTTTTACCGTAATCCCAAATTTCCTTCTTCAAGCTTTTGGGAAGAAGCTGTTAATACTTTAGCTGGACTGATCAGTGATAATAACTTATCTAATCATATTCTTAAAAAGTGTTCCAAGAAGTTGGAAGAATTTGAGAAAACCCTATTACAGGTTATTTTAAGGAGCAACTATATAAATCGGGTAAGTATTCAATCTCTTCTGTTCATGAAATAATACATCAGTGGTTTTGGTGAACCTTCTGTTTGGATAATGTTGATTGATATGCCTTAGACTCCTGGTTCAGAGCCTCCAGTTAAACCTCCTTTTGGAGCCATCTGGGCTATCACGCATTGTCATGTCCCCTCCTCTGGACTCTGATCATTATAACACTTGCTATTCTCTACACAGCTACCTGTGCTTCCAGCTTGTACTTCTCTGCTTTGCCTTGTTATTGTCCTGCTTTTTCTTGTTATCCTTGAATTCTTGTCTTTTGTTTTCCCCTATGTTTATGTCCCATTGATCAAAAGGTCTCAATATTTTTCCAAAAACCACTAGCATTTAATGGTTTCCCAATCTATAACTTCAGTGGGTGTTAAATTCCTCGTGATGGATTACCTGTACTGTACTGAATTTGTTCTTTTTCTGGCATTGACTAGCAGATGCCTGGAGGTCAAAGAATATTTTTCTCTTCTTTTAGAATTTCCAGTGTAAGTGGCATAATACCCCACGGACCCTCTAAATGAGTAAATTGGCTGAGGAACCCATAACATATGGCTTTATTATGTTTTGTTTTGGTTTGTTTTTTTTTTTCTTATTTAACGTGTTTTAGTAAGGTTGACTCAGAGATTCTTTTTTAACAAGTGACATTGAGGTAACCTGCCAGTTGTTTTTTTGTTTGGCTCTTGAGACATAAGGGATTGTTTTTTTTGTTTGTTTGTTTGTTTGTTTTGGTATTGCTTCCTATCTTACTTAGGCTCCAACCCCTTGTTTGGGAAACTCCTAATGCATTCACATTTTAATCCTTCTGATTGACTACTTAAAATATCACAGAGGAGACTAAAAGGTCTAACTGACTTACAAACTGTACTTCACTGTAGGCAAAAAGTTGTTAGATCTTGTTTCTTTTGATACATCATGGTCCGGTGTTTGTCCTCAGTGCCATTATCTGAATTTTGTACAATGAAGGCTTTTCCTGAATTTTTAAAACTCTAACAAAATTTGAACTAATAGCCTTACTTGTTGCACATGCATCTGTTCTTCTCTGTTAACATGTAGAAAACTTAATGATTAAGCTTTTGGCATTCATGAAAGGTGACTTTTCTGTCTGGCAAACTGAAATTTTTTTTCTACCTGATATGTCAGTCAGGAATTAAATATCAGATTTTTCATAGTAGTATCTGAGGTATCCAATCTGTTTCTTCACCATTAATAAATTTGCCATATTTAATATTTCTTAATCTTTTTTTTTTTTTGCATATTCTTGCTTTATCTTAAAACTACTTTAAACAGGTTGTATATTGACTTAGAACTTTCCAGATACTGGCATTTATATTCTTTATCAGTTAACACATGATGCATGCATTTTTTCCAGTCTAGTCTTTCACTTAAGGATTAGAATACTCACAAGAAGCCAGGGGACATGTATGGAAGGGAGTATGTAGAAGAAACTTGTGTTGGTGCAGATAGTTCTGCAGTATATTTTCTGTACCATTTGTCGGGGTGCAAGCTGTTGTTGGATCTTTGGGTCAGCAGTGGGGGAATGAGTGAATGAATGGCTTTGGTCTTTTATGGAGATGTAATTGTTACACGCGTATAATTGTTACAATGCATGAGAGCCCAGATGGCTCCAAAAGGAGGTTTAACTAGAGATAGTAGAATCCTAAAATTGCTCACTGTGTTTACAATTAGGATGATGACTCATAAATAAGTTTTAATGACATTCTCTCTTGGGTTTTTTTTTTTTTTCTTGCCAGTAGAAGCTTCTTAGATTAAATCATTTCAGCTTTTGTTGTTATTACTGTCATCATCATCTTCCAGATATGTTCATAAAGGTTCTTTATTAGAAAAAAATGACTGATTGCTCCTTATAAATGCGTTTTTGTCTTTTTTTTTTGGTTTAAAAAAGAATATATTCTGATGTGAAATATAGGCTAGCTTCTATTGCATTTTTTATTGATACTATTTTTGATTGATCAATACAAAATGCCATAGTTTAGAAAAAATTGCTCTTTGGAAAAACCTTATTTCCACAATTGGAAGTGTTTAAATTGTATCGCTTAGAAACTCGAGCCCTGCTATTGATTTGTTAAAGGAAAGTTATGTTTGTGCAATGTGATAGGAAAAGTTGTGGTATGAATACTTTGATAGTCTGACAGAAGGATTTCATGTGTTTTTAGTTCATCTATAGCCAGGTTTTAAATAAAATATATATCTTTTATGTGTTCTCAATACATTTAGTAGTAAATTTATTCAGCTATAGCTTTGTTTTTCTTTAATAATCAATAAATTTATTCAGCTATAGCTTTGTTTTTGTTTAATAATCAATCAATGAGTTTTTCTTTAATAATCAATAATTAAATTAAAATTAAATTTTAATTTAATAATCAATGAGAAGTTGGCATCTTTCAAAATCTTGAGGTTATTATTGTGAATGTCAGTTATGTCAGGGTTGTATATATTCAGGAGATAAGAGGTTGAAATGAAACACCGTGAAAATTGTTTCGAAAAATTCTCTAATTGTAGCTTGGTTGAAATTATTAAGTTCGGGGGAAACATAAGTTTGTGGAAAATATATGTATGATTTGTGATTTTTCAGATTTGGATAAATTCTATTTATTTTTGTGCTGTTTTGTGCTATAATATATGCTATTTTTATTCAGTAACAGATCTTTAGGAATTGTTATCTTAGTGTTATATCTACATCATATTTTCAGGGTAGTTATTAGTGTAGGACTAGAAGGTATAATCCATAAAGACACATTGGACAGGGAGAGAAGATACATGTCTTGAAACCAGAGGGCTTACAGATGTCTGCACTAGGCTTGCTCTAGGGGTCCTGGGAAGCAGTCTTGACTTGACTTGTCCTCTACTTATGGGCCCTGGTGTGGCATGTTTCCTCTTTCACCTTTGTACTTGCCTTGGGGTCAGGAGTGTTTGCCTTTGAGGTATTTAATGCCTCGATGCCTAAAAATACTTTGAGGTATTTATTCTAATGAGTTAGAAAACTTTCTCTTCAATTTCTTATTTTTCTAACCATAAAACAATTTTTTATTATGTTATATTATTCACCACACAGTACATCATTAGCTTTTGATGTAACAACTCTTGGACATATTAGTTATGAAACTGAAAAAAAAATTGGCTGCCAAGTAGATATTAACTTAGAATCTTTTGTATGTATGGTAGGCCAAATAATTGTCTCTGCTAAAGATGTCCACATCCTAATCCTTGGAATTTGTGAATATTTTATGTTACATGATGAGATGGGGTGGAGAATTAAGGTTGCTGAACTTGGTATGAGGAGATTAGCCTGGATATCCCCATGGGCCCAATACTCACAAGGGTAAGTGAAAGAGGGAGGCAGGAGAGTCAGTGTCGAAAAATTTGAAGATGCTGGCATTAAAGATGGAGAAAGGGACCATGAGCCAACACATGCAGGTTGGAAAAGACATGGAAATCGATTCTTCTTGAGAGGCTCCATGAGGAATGGAGGCCTGGAAACACCTTCATTTTGGCCCAGTGAGACCCACTTCAGACTTCTGATGTCTAAAACTGTGACTGAATAAGATTGTATTGCATTAAGCCACTAAGGCTATGGTAGTTTGATATAGCAGCAATAGGAAATGAAACACTATGTTTAATATTTTTTAGTGTTTTCACATCCATTATATCATTATATATCTATACAACAACTCTGTGAGGTAGGCATGGTTGCCATTTGTTAGATAAGAAAAATGAGGATCAGAGGGATTTGCCCAAGGCCACCAAGCTAATTAGCAGTGGGAACACTAGCACCTAGTATTAGAGTTGAATGTGGCGCTGCTTTCCCTCTTCATTCTCTCTTCTCAAAAACCTCAAATTTGGTAAAACTGAGCCAGATTCTAGGATATAGGCAGGTATTGCTTGTATAATCCCCCCTGCTATGGTCTATATGTTCATTCCTTCCTGTCTGGATTCCTGTAGTAACTTCTTTTCAGATTCCTGACTCATCTGATCTTCCTCTAACCCATCTTCCTCACCATTGTCAGAGTGACCCTTTAAAAATGACAAAGATAGCACAAAACTGGAGATTATCTTAAAAAAAAAAAAAAACCCTTAAAAAAATGCCAAAGATCCTTCAGGGGCTCCTCAGGGACTGATAAAAAAGCACACATTCTCTTGATGGGCATTGAGAATGTATGGAATTGTCAAACCACTATATTGTGCACCTGAAATTAATGTGACACTGTCAGCTACACTAGAATTAAAAAAGAAAGAAAAAGAGTGTGAGAGTGAAGCATAAAGAATGGAGAGGGGCAGGGAGGCAGGCAGGCTGGCTGGCAGGAATGCACATATGCTTAACCACTCTTCACTCCCGTCAGACCGAATTATTTGTATTTTCAAGTACTTTCTATTCTCTTCCTACTACCTGTCAGTCCCTTAGCCCAGGACACCCTTCTTCCGTATGGCTTGTTCTACCTATCCTTGCAAACTGAGCTCTAGGATTAGCTCCTCAAAGAAGCCTTCCCTCCTACCCTGCTTCCATTTTCTCTTCCTTTTAGTGATTAAATATCCCTCACATAAATTCACCACAGTGCACATATCACTGTATTGTAGCTACTGACTTGTTTTTCTCCTCCACTAGAATCCATATTTGTGGCTATATGCCATGCCTTACTCAGTTTAGATCCTCAGGGCTCAACATGGTGCCTAGTGGTGGATTGGGGGTGTCTCATTATAGCCTGGTGAGGGTGGGCTCCCACTTGGCCTTTGCTTATGTGGGTGGGGGAGGCACAGTTTTTTTCTGTGGTGTTTGGCTCTTTGTTTGGAGGTTATCTCTGAAGGCTTTCTACCTTTCTAGGCTGTCTCTTTTCTTTCCTTTGGTTTATGTTGTTATTTTTGTTCTGTCCATCCCCATTGGCACTTCTAGGTTTTTAGCTTTTTAAGCTCCAAATCTGGGATATAGGAGGCAAAAGGAAAATGAGGGAACTTACCACTTTGTC